TTATACCTTTATTAATTATAGTACTTACTTCTTAAAGGAATATCTTAATTAATATAGTTTTATAAATAGTATTAATATAATTATAGATATCTATAAGGTTCTTTATATTAATAAGTAAAGCTTTCTACTCTTATTTAAGAAGCTAGTTCTCTTATATAATTATATTAAGATTAATTAGATTATCTCTTAATAGGATAAGTATAGGTTATAGAGGTTAAATTATATTTTAGTAATATTAAATTAGTAGAAAGCTATAGTTTATATATATATTATAATACTAAAGCTATACTCTTCTATTTTATAGTAGGTAATAGCTTATAGATAAAGTTAAAGGTTAATAGTTAGTAAAGTTTTTAGTACCTTTTTTATTACTAGAATACTTAATTCCTACTTATTTTTCCTATTTAGTATATATATAAAGAAGCTAGGAACTAACCCTTTAATACCTTTTAAACTAAGTATAAAGAGGGTAGTATTTATAAGATTTAAATTAGGGACTTTATAGACTACTAAAACTTTATCTATCTATAATAAACTATATAAGTTAATATTTAAGAATAAATAAGAGTAAGTAAACTTACTTTAATTAAGTTAATTATTAGAGAAATTAAAATTAAAATTAAATTAGTACTATAAGTTAAATAGAATAATAAGTCTTTAACTTATTATTTATAATAGTTAGAACTACTTATAATAAGGTAATTAGTTCTAGCTATAATAGTATAAAGTTATTTATAAATATATAATAGAGAGAGGATATTAATATTTTAGATCCTATTAAAGATTAAGTTAAAAAATATAGATTATTTATATAAACTTTAATTAATTAATTAACTATAATAAGGCTAAAATATATATAACTATTTAAGAATATAAGTAAAAGGGATCATTACTATACGTAAGAGGGGTGGTCGTAAAGGGTTTTAAGCCACTGGTCCCTGCGGACTTCCGTAATTTCCACCGTCCAAGTGCAAAGTTTAAAGCATGCTAGACGCTACATGGAGTTATATGTGCCGGAGCATGTGACTCAGCTAACCTTTCATGTTCATCAACTACGTCTGAAAGCATCATCAGATCCTCATCAAAATGGAGAAGCCAAACGTGAATGCTTCACGACTTAGGCTTGGCCTCACTGAATCAGGGCCGGCGTGTAACTCATGTAGAAGGTAAGTATTGCTCCTCTGAATATCTCGCTTGCATATGAAATAACTAACGGACCAAGACGGAAGTCAAAATGTCAGTTCACATTTTTTTGCTTGCATACGCCGTGATAGCTACTAAGCAATCTAAATTAGGTGACAAGTTAAGACCATCTTGCACCTTCTGCATAGCACAGGGGCAATCATGCGTTTACTCTCCACTCCGCAGGAAGCCAGGTCCCGCGATAGGATCAAAACATACTAGGGGCACGAAGGAGTTGGAACAACGCCTAGGTAGTGTACCCGATGGCCACAACCGTTTCACGGCTTGAGGCTGACGCCGATTTTCTGTTCCCCAGCTCGAGTAGAACAGTTTCTTAGACTTCCTCAGCCTCCGAGTGCATCTGGCCCACCCGCGGCTGTCTCCGAACAATCTCAGCCAGCGAGCATGGAGTGTGAGTTGAGGGCAAACCCCGCTCCTTTAACTGATACGCCATCGTGTATTCCACCCGCCATTACGTATTACGAACCGGTGTCTCCCAGCAGCATTCAACCAGTTCTCCGAGCTATCAAGTGGATCAATTGGACCGATGAAAGAAAGACTCTTAGCCCGAACAAGCATACACTTCAATCTATTTGTAGTCGTCGCTGCAAGCTGCCTTGGTATATTGGGGATGGGACTCTTTGGTCGGATAATGAGCACTCTTTGTGAGATGAGACCCGTACTACTTTCCCTACCGCGGCGCTGACTACTTTTGCCAGGATCTCTGCGTATTTCGAACATGTTACTCTGCCTCTCTCTATATTCTCCCCGACGCGATTCTATGCTCAATATGAGAATGGAAACATTCCGTCGTACTTGTTATACGCCATGTTTTCGCTTTCGAGCCGGTTCACAGAGGCACCAGAAGTTGTGCGTCTTGCGCAAAATGACTTGCCCGCTTTGGCTGAAAGATTTTATCGAACAGCTTCAGATGAATTGGACCATTTTGAAGAAAGCTACAGAGGGGTCGGTATGGCCGAGGTTCAGACTGCTTTTCTCTTGGCACATTACCAGTACACTTATCTGCCAGTCGGATCAGCCTCTTACCAGTATTCCAGGGCAGTGAGGTGGGCATACACCTGTGACCTACACCAGGTCGAAAAGCCTCGGCCAGGGGCTCGAAGAGATGGATCAGACTACACTGTTGACGATGAGGAGAAGAGATGTCTATGGTGGGCCTTGTGGGCCATGGACAGTTTCACCAGCCAGATGTCCTCGGTTCCTCCAAGCATTGAAGATGGAAGTTCAGGCACCTTACTGCCCTCTTGCCGATTGTCAGAACTCGCTATTGGTAACTTCCCGCCTCCTGCAACAAGGTCGTTGGACGACCATCGAGAGGAGAACTGGTACAACTCACGATCTGGAGAGACACCGGGAGTAAAAGCTCAGCTAGTCAGGCTATCATCGACGGCATTAGCGCGGGAAATGAGTTCTCTGATGAGACTGAGGCAGGCCAGGCCGACAATCGCCGTTAAAGAGCGGCTTGACCATCTTGAGAGGCAATGGTACTGCATGATATCCGGCCTATCTCCTGAGTTTCTGTCCCCTGAATATTGCGCAACTGATCAGGGCGTAGAGGGACATCGCCTGAGACTTGAAGCTTTACATCTGGTACACGTGTAAGTATGATCACATGGCCTTTTAGGTTCAAACTGAACATTTTGCGTCATATTAACATGATACTAGTACAGGCTTATTATCTGGAATACCACCGCTACGTCCATTAACAATGGAGCCCGGGATATGCTTCCATAGAAATGAAGCATCATACAACTATGAAACCCGATGGAGCAACAGCATATCCCACGCTCTTCACATTGTCTCACTTTACCGACATGGAAATTGGCCTTCTCAAGCATTTCTCGAAGGTGATGCAATCACCCTGTTCCCCATCCTGTGGACAGCAGCATCGTTTCTGTCCCTTGCACTCATGAGATCTGGACCGGTTGATGCCACGGAGAAAATAGTCTTGCTGGATGCATTGGACTCAGTCATGTTACACCTGACGCAGGCCTCGCGCCATTGGGGAATTGCTAGACTTTTCCTTTGTGAGTGGAGATTTTCAAATTATTCAGTTCCCATCGCTGACTAGCCACCTGCCCCAAGCCTCTCTGAAAGAGCTTCGAGGCTTAAGTTATTTCAGACTTGACATGAGTACCATTTTCCAGCTTGTTCTAGGGATTTACAGTCCCCTCAAACAGGATGCCGTGGAGCGCGAGGAGCCGAAGGGTTCTTTGGACTCAACTGTCGCAGAGGATGGTGTTTTCAGGGACGATCAGAATTCCGAAGGCAATACAACTCAGATGGAATCTGGGTGGACCGGAGAGGACATGTGCTCGTTCATCGACTGGTCTGGTGGGAACCCAAGCGATCAAGGCGGTGAATGGTGCGGTCCAGAAACCTCCTACGGCCTATAGTGGCTATGAGAAGAAATAATCGAGAATTAGGAAATGCATCCATGAGAGAGCAATTCTGATTTGAGTGATTTCCATAGTCAACCTTTGCGACGTTGTCCGTTCAAATCCAACAATCTACGTGAACTTATCTCCGATCACCGCTCTAGACCCCGCGATGGCGTGAAAAATCCTTGGGATGGCGACATTCTACCCCTCAAAACCCCACGATCACCTTTGCCCCAACTGGGGAAGATGGTGCACTCCAAAAGAGACATTGAGAACACGTACCCACTGTGCTCATCAACAAATATTGACTAGATACCATGTTATCTAACTTGTGCTTCGCGGTAACCCGTTTATAATGACGCAAGAACGACAGCCATTGATGTGATGAATGCCAAGAGGACAGGCCTTGACTTTTCGCAGTCACCAAAACCAACCTTTTTCATTGTCCAGACCAGCCGCCGACATCCGAAGCTAGTACTGCCCTATGAACTTTTCTTAGCCAAGAATGAGGTATTTGCCTGAATGGCTGGCTTTACATTGCGTGATCATGCACAGTATTTGTGTCACTGGGAGTCGTGGGGTGTGTGGAAGATTGCTTATTCAAATGGAAATATCCGATAACTAGTCGATTATTATTGGATATTTCCTTCGTGCCTCAGCAATTTGGAAGCTGATGACCACATGACCCAAGGCTATGTGTGTCCGTATATGCGTGACTTGAGGAATTACGACGTGTAATCAGCTAGTCGAGTATTATCCTTCCATCTGCTTGACTGCCGTATAATTATAATGGGTAAACATATGGGCCCCGGATGGCCTAGGCTAGAGAAACCTCTGTGGCTAATCTATAGGGTATTTGAAGGGGGCGCGAGTCTGGAGCAGCTCCTTCTCCACACCACCACAACTTCAACATCAAGATACCGCCACCGTTTCTCGAGCCCTTCATAGACTTTTGAATACTCATGCATGCGCATGCAATTTCAGCAAATAAGATCTCACCGATAATGAACAGAGGATCTCCGCAGGGTGAAATTGCTGGAAAGCTACCAGATAAATGCCAACCTTTGGTATGGTGTTCGGCCTCAGGATTGGGCATCTTAGTCGGACTTCAGCCGGTCTGCATCGGGTCTCGCCCGATCTCTGGGTTTCATCGGCTGCACATTCCCGCCAGAATATGATTCCAAGACTTTTGACGACTTACAAACCCTCCATTACGACAGAATCCTGCAGCGTTTTGTTGTACTCCACGTGGAGTACCGAATCTTGGCAAATAGAATGCTTTTGATATAACATCGCAGAGAATATGATTCCGGCCATGAGAAAGTCCGCTAATTGTCCTTGCGCAGACAATCAGCAAACCGGCACCCGATTAATCTATTTTACGGGGTTTCTTAAGGGCATTAACTACTTCTAGGTATGCCTCATTCCATCGCGGAAGTCCGGCCAGCCGATGCCGATGCCAAAACTTCAGCTTCTCAAAGCAACGACAAGGGCATCGTCGAGCCGGCGATCACTGAGGTCCTCCAAGAAGCACCGAAACGAACATGGAAATCTTATTTGTGGGACACCTTCGACAAGTCTCCGGAGGAACGTCGATTTCTCTTCAAGCTTGATGCGGTCTTGATGACATTGGCATCACTTGGTTACTTCATTAAGTATTTGGATCAGGTACTTGATGAAAGCCCGACGAAAATGAGCAGCGACTGAAACATTTAGGTCAACATCAACAATGCATTTGTGTCTGGAATGAAAGAGGATCTCAGCCTGTATGGGAATGAGCTCAACTATATGCAAGTTTGTTGGACGGTTGGATACGTGATAGGAGAGATTCCGAGGTGAGTCTGCCCCTTTTTGTGTCACTCAACACCCGTAATGACAGCCTCCCCAGCAACATGCTTCTCACCCGGATTCGCCCTCGAATCTGGATTCCAATTTGCGAGGTAGGAAACTAAGGTCCAATTGCACATTCAAACAGAAACTCATTGACATATCAGGTTACCTGGTCGGTTCTCACTATCTTACTCGCAAAATGCCAGACTTCAACTCAGATCTACGTCCTTCGCTTCTTCATTGGCCTTGCAGAATCCACCTTTTATCCAGGGATGCAATACATCATTGGCTCCTGGTACCGTAAAGACGAATTGGCCAAGCGTAGTTGCTTATTCCATGCAATGGGAAACGTTGGGTCAATGGTTTCCGGCTATCTTATGGCTGGTGCCCATAATCTTGACGGCGTGCATGGCTATCACGGCTGGCAGTGGCTGTTTATCACCAACACTATCGTGTCCCTCCCGATAGCCATTTCTGGATTCTTTTTCCTGCCTGACTTACCAGAAATCACGAAAGCCTGGTACTTTACCCCCGATGAAATCGTCCTAGCTCAAAAGCGTATGCAGCTGGAAGGACGCGCCCAGAGGGCCCCTTATACGAAGGCAAAGTTCGTCAAGATCTTTTCCAGTTGGCATATCTGGACTCTGGTCATTCTTTACATTGTCTTCAACAATGGCAACGGAGGAAACTCTCAGCCCGCGTTTCCCCTTTGGTTGAAGTCTGAGGGCTACAGTCTTCGCGAAGTCAATATCTATCCCACGATTACTGAGGTAGTCAGCATTATCACCACATTGATCTACGCATGGACCTCAGACAGTCTGTTCCGAGGAGCTCGCTGGCCAGCTATCGTCTTTTCAGGGCTGGTTAAAATCATCGCTTACGTTCCCTTGACAATTTGGAACGTGCCCAACAGCCTCAAATGGGCATGCTTCATTTTGTGTGGATTTGGAGGAGGTATCAGTGGCCTCACTTTCGCCTGGGCCCACGAAATCTGCAGCGATGATAACGAGGAAAGGGCTTTGGTTACGGGGGCCATGAACCAAATGGCGTACGTCTTTCAGGCATGGCTGCCATTGGTGATTTGGCAACAGGTTGAGGCCCCTGCATACCCCAAAGGCTACCCGAGCATGGTTGCCCTTTCAATCGTTTTGATCGGCATTGCCTTTGTCATTCGTTTCCTACACAAGCGGGAAATTCGTCTCAAAGGTGCACTTGGGTCGAATCCTGCTTGAAACCCGTATGCTGGGGGTTGGCTGTTCCTTCCCAGCTGGGGTTCACGTGAATAAGAGCAAGTTTCTCCCACATGAGTAGCAATCATTGCACAGAGACAGTTGAAAGTTAGCTTGGACATTACAATAACTACACATGAGTCACTCTCAAGCCGCGCAAATTGGTCCTCTCTCCCTTGTTGTTTTGGCCCGCTTTGACTTGCCGATGCCTGAGTCAACCCGACTGGGCCTGAAAAGAAAACTACTGCAACCAGCTGACAGGTCTCCACCCCGCCGTCCGCCGCTTCGGACGAATACCCCACACAATGCCAACCGCGACGCGAATTGGACGACGAGAAGGTTGATGATAGGGTTTTCTGAGCGGTACAATTGCGTATAAGCGTCGTCCACATTGCGGTTGACAGAAATGATATTTATGTTTGTCAAGGATGAGGGAGGTAAATGTCTCGGCCTTAAAATGAGTGTACCAACTTGGTATAGGAGGTTGACTGTCGAGTTCAGTCTCACTTCTAACCGTGATCCTAATACTAACAGTGCGCCGTGTGGTTGGCTAATAAACGAACAATGTGAAGTCTTCCTCGTCTTTATCTGTATGATTTACCAGGCGCCCAGAAGTCAATTGATGCGCGTGAAATGAAAGGCGCCAGTCTCTATGTCGTTAGTAGGACTAGTAAAGCAGAGATCGATCCATCATTGTCAGGGTTGTGCGATTAGCCAAGACTTAGGGATCATAATGAGTGGCAACTCAAATGCGAAAGCGAGCCCAAACGTCGTCTTCTCGGGTTCCGGAGCACAAACGCGAAGGGCGAAAGAACGCCGAAGACGCGACCGTGAAGTTGTCGTGAAGGTGCAACGCATCATAAATACAATAGACTCAATACGAGTCCTCATCTCAGTTGGACTCTTGGTATCTGCAGTCACAAGACAGACATCACACTTACTACTACTTTTCTACATCCCTAGCCACCGGCTTTGAAGCTTAGACCAACATGGCCTCTCCTACACCCACAAACTTTGCCATGAGGCTCACCGCATTCGGCGCGCCTCTGACGAAGGTCGAACTCCCCGTGCCCGAGGCTTCTGCGGGTACCGTCGTCGTGCGAAATCTTGCGACATCCCTCACGTCTTACATGCACCTCATCCTAGATGGCAAGCTGCCACAGCACAACTTGCAGCTCCCAGTCATTCCGAATCCGCCATGCGTGGGACGTATCCAAGCCGTGGGCCCGGACGCTGTACGCCTCAAGCCTGGCGATCTCGTGTACATCCAACCAATGGTACAGGCCCGCGACGATCCCTTCACCAAGATTGTTCAGGGTCACATCTGCGGCACGAGTGACGGGGCCTACAGGCTCTGGGAAGAGTGGAAGGAAGGTGCATTCCAGCAGTACACAAGAGTCCCTTTGGAGAACTGCATTCTGCTCAACGAGGACCGTCTATGTGGTGAGCTCGGCTACAGCCCAGCAGTGCTGCAATCCATTGCAAACTACGCCATCTCCGCTGGAGCTATCATTGAAGCTGCAAAGCTGAAGCCTGCCGAGACCATCATCATTGGCCCATCGTCTGGTATGTTCAGCGGCCTAGCCGTTGAAATAGCCTTGGCCGTGGGTGGAAACGTCATTGCCCTCGGGCGGAGCGAGAGCAAGCTCGCGGCAATGAAGCAGAAGATTGGTGGAGATCCGGGCCGTCTGAAGTACGTTGTGATGACGGGGGACAACGAAGCGGACTACGGAGCAATTATGCAAGCCACACCCGGTGGAGCCGGAGCTGAGGTGTACAATGACTGGACCCCCGAGGGCAACACCGGGGCATTCTACCTCTCAGCTGCGTCCCGCACGCTGAAGTTCAATGGTCGCATCGTCCTGAGCGGCGGAACGACAGCAGGGCTTGGAGGTTTAAGCTACATCTCGGCAGTTACCAGAGATCTGCAAATCCTTGGAAAGTGGGTTTGCAACCGTCAAACCGTGGAGCAGTTGATCGGCATGGTGACTTGTGGATTGCTGAGAATTGGCGTCGAAAGCGGTACTATAGTGAAGGAGTTTACGCTAGATCAGGTGATGGAAGCTGTGGAATACGCTCGGGAGAATGTCGCATGGAGACACTATACTGTTGTATGCCCATAGATTCATTAGCTTTTTAATGAGGTCAAGGCCTTTTTGTAAGCTAAGTAGATATGCTATGGTAAGGAGTTGAATGCAGTTTCTATTATAGTAAAGCGTGAGACTGTTGCTCTGAGACTGTCAGGAAACCATTGTGTGATGGGCTTAAGTCTTCCGCATTAGATACAACCCATCTGACTCTCCTGTGTCTAGACGATTAAGTTACCTGTGTAGTTATATAACTATTCCTCTTAAAGACAGTAGTAAAAGTAATGATGATGTTAGCAGCTGCAACAATAATCATAAAGTCAACGACAATAATAATAACGATGATGATAACTTCTCCTCCTTTATATTTTTCTTAGTACGTACTATTAGTGCGTTATACTAACCTATACTAATTATACTAATACTACTTATTTTCCTCCTTTTCTTTAGCTATAGTTGAAGATAAGGAAATAGCTAGTACTAAGCCTCTAGCTATACTAGTAATATAGTTCTAGCCTATCCTACTACTTATAGGGCTATAGCTACTAAACGCTACTACTCTTATAGACTTAAGCCCTTCTTAATAACTTCTTAGAGAGGTTTCACTATCTAAAACTAAGAGAAAATAGGCTATATAAAACTTATTACTAGATATCTTTAGAAGTATACTATTACTACTAGACTACTAGAAGGTAATATATAATATATCTATATAGGGATTAATAATAAACTAAGGCTAAACTCCTACTATATAGGGGTTAAGTAAAATTACTTACTTTTAAGATATATTTAACTATATTAGAATAGCTCTTATTAATAGCCTCTAAGTATATCTTATAGTACTAAAAGTAGAGGAATAATATTATAAAGTAGCTAAGTACTTTAAGAAGATCTTTATAATAGCTCTCTATTATAACTTCTATAGATAATAACTAGAATTTACTAGCTCTACTAATAACCTTACTATTAGGAATATTAGAATTAGAGGAAACTTAATTAACTTCTAGCTAAGAGTAACTTAGTATACTAACTATAGAAATAGTAGATAGGGTATTTAAGGCTTAATAGTAACTTATAGTATATAACTTAGTTAAAGCTAAGCTATAGCTTAAAATAGAGTTTAATAGCTTAAGAATATTAAATTTATAGATAATAGACTCTTTATTAGAATCCTAAAGGATATTAGATTTAGGAATATATACCTATTAATAGTCTATAAGGAGATTAAAGTGTACTATAAATTATAGAGTAGTAATATTATAAAGATAACTAGGATTTAGACTAGTTTTATACTTACCTTAAACTCTAATAGAACTTAATAGAGGATATTTAGTAGTAGCCTTAAGTTACTTAAACTACTTAGTATAAGTGCTATTAAATAACTTAAGATATAGATTATATATATAGTTTATAATATCCTAACTATAACCTCTAACTTTAGAGGAGAACTTATTAATATAAAGCTAATCCTTACTAATAAGGTCCTCTAGTAGTTAAAACTTAAGCTTATAAAGTATATAATAGTTACCTATACTAATAGATAAGTTTTATAAACCTAGATTATCACTTTTAAAAAGATACCTCTAGTTAAGTAGTTTACTCTATAAGATAGTAATTATACTATTAAGCTTAAATTAAAGATAAATATTAACTAATACTTAAAGTACTTTAACTAGTATAAGTTTAGATTATACTAAAAGAACTAATACTACTATAACTATAGTTTAGAAAGAGCGTATAAAGACTATTAACTCTTAACTTAATATACTAATTATAAAGGGGATTATAAGAGTACTAATAATAAGTACCTATTAAGGCTAAAGAGAGACTATAGTAAAATTATATATCCTATTAAGGCTTAGAGGAAAAATATTATCTAGAAAAATATAAAAGCTAAGAAAATTATAGAGGAAAATAATACTATAAGATACCTTATAAGATAAATATAATATATATTACTAACTAAGATATAGAGCTATAACTATTTTTTACTACTAATTAAAGAAGTAGAGTTTAATATCTTTAAAGTTTTAAGAGAAGATTACTCTAAAGGTAGTACTACCTCTACTCCTATAGAGCTTAAAACCTTAATTACCTCCTCACTAAATAAATAGAGGATTTATAGTCTTTTAAGTAAATATTACTAGATATTTAGATATATATAGCTTTATGCTATTATATAGGTATAAAGCTTATACTAACCTAATATTTATATAGGAGCTTTAAGTCTCTATATATATTAACCTTAATAAAGGACTAAATAAAACTTATATAATTACTAAATACTTACTATATAGCTTAAAACTCACTTAGATATGCTATAACGATTATCTATAAGTTCTTATATATATTAAAGATTTATACTAATATCTTAATATAACTTAAATCACACTTTAGCTATATTAGGATATAATAGGACTTACTATTAATAATATTCTTTACTTTAATATCTATAGAGATAGTAATAAACTATATATCTTAACTACACTTAAGTAATAAACCTTACTAGCTAAGTTATTTATAGTAGGAGATTTTAATACTATATACTTAGTATAGTAACTAGGTACTAAACTAAATATAGGAGTATTATAGTTCTAATACTAAATTAAATAATATAACCTTATAGTTATAAATAACCCTAAAAAGTAAATATATAATACTAGAAATATTCTTAACCTTATTATAATAAACCTATTATTAGTTAAAACGTAAGTATTAAGCTATTAGTATATAGGCTTAGATTACTATATACTTATCTTAGTAGTTTCTAGTATACTAAATCTTAATACTAAATTATAAGTAATTAATATACCTAAATACTACCTATTTAGAGATTATACTATATATTTTATAGAAGAGATTAAGGACCTTTTATAGGTCTTTAATTTATCCTTAGAAACTAAGGATAATCTTAAT